AAAAAAAAAAAGGAATTCTTTACCAAAAATAAATGTCGATCCCCGTTTTCCTACCCTGTAATATCCCTGCTTTAACACCAAAGAATATCCTAATTATCCTGTATGACCACATACGGAAAGTTTACCAGCAGTAATTAACTTACCAATAGCAAGTGTAGCCATCATTGTTGTACCACCTTTTATGTAATCACCCAAAAGATGTTGCATATTATCGGCGATGAACAGTATTGCAACACTGCACATACCAAGTTGATAAAATAAAATTGTTACATTCACCACATACCTAAAACCAAAAACTGAACAGTAATAAAAAAAGAAAGCACTACTGTAAAGTTATTTTTTATTAGAAAAAGAAATGAGGATGTAAGTAAATCGGCAACACATGTTATTTCCAAGACTTTTTTTTAAAAACCTTACATAATTGCTTTACTGTTGTTTCGCAGGAAACGTATATCGCTGTAATCACAAACTTTTTTTGCAAAATGTCCATAATCTAACGAAGATCTTTCAGATTTTTTTGCTAAATGTTGCGAGGACCGAACTAAGATATGATTTCCGTACCAATTAAAGCCAGCAATGACAAAGCTGAGTACAAATGAAACCTAAAGACAGTGAAACTATACTGAACAGACTAAACAATCAATTAGTTAACCATGGAAAGAACTTTAAATAACAAGAAAAAGAAAGCGCTGACCCATAAACCACCAAGTTTATAAGCATATGGTAATGAGAAGCAACCAGCATTGAACATACTTTTCGACAATGTCAGTACCGCTCGATGTGGTCTAAAAAAACGGGATCTGCTACTGGTGCTCATTGAAGCAAAATCTTTCTCTTTTCACAAAATTTATAGAAAAGCTGACTTTTCCTATACTACTGTCAATACTATCACAAAGTAAAAACTTACGATATAACATCACCTTTCCTAGTTTCTCGTTTTACTAGGTATTGACCATCACTGATATCAACTTCGTTAGACGTTCTAATGGTTTCAATTGTCGCATTGCTGTTGACATCCTCAACCATTCGATCGAATTACAAACCTAAACTATGCGGTTACAACGGCCATAAAGATGACCACAAAGAACAGTGGTTCGATTGTTGAAGCCAAAATTGGTACAATCAGTTGTATTTATTTATTTTCTCATTAAAAAAATATATATTAGCGATACTAGACAGAAAACAGTGTTATAATGGTGCTATTTTCTGTTGAAAACTTTCGTGCCACAAAGAATATGTATGAACACGTCACGAATAAAAAATAATATTAAAATTTTGCTGGATAAACAACACTGATGAGCAATAACAATGTCTAATGATACAACAAAAAGTAAAGTGTTAATCATATGGAACACACTGTTAGCCGAAATGATATTTTAATGTAACGATAACGACATCCGAAGAAGAAAAAGAAGGCACTAATACGGATGACAGTTGACGGTGAAACAGGATAACTGATCATCGAATAAAAGTTTAAACGTGGAAAAAGCTGAAAATTTTTTGATCCATTTGTCAAATGACCGAGACTTAGGGAGCGCAGCTAATTCGGTTTTGATATCACTTAATTTTGAACAAAAAAAACGAAAAACTTCTTTTGTTCACAGTTGGCAAATAAATTGATAAATCACAATTAATATTTAAGCAAATTATGTCTTGCCAATTTCTTCTCACTCCTTTATTTACTTATTTCTTTTTACACGAAAAAAAGGATAATGGAAGTGAAAAAAAAAGGAGAAAAAAATTGTTGAAGAGTAAGCAATAGAATAAGACAGACAAAAGTGTGACACTATAAGTTTGCTGACTAAACAAATTTGATAAACTTCAGTCCACTTTTTCCCTGGTTGTCTCACATCAAATGTACCAACAATACAATATACAAAAATTTTACATACCCACAAACGTATAAACATATATAAATACATTGTATTTAAAAAGTTTTTCTCATTTTCTTTTATCTTTTTTAGTTTTTTTTTTCCTTTTTGAGGTCAACTGTTGACCACAACTGAAAAACAAACAACATCTAATGAACGTAGTATCAACGGTCTTATCGACATGCACAGATACCATCGATGTCTGTTGATATAACTGCACATGGTTGTTCTCGTTACAGGTTTCTGAGCAGGAGAAATATGAGCATGAATTACGCATGTTTAAAGCATTTGTTAAACCGGTATTAAAGCCATAATCATTGTCAATTTTTTTTTTTTTTTCAAAGATAAAGGAAAGTTTTGTTGCTTTTAGGTGTTCAGCTTTTTTCTGATCATAGATTACAACAATGACACATCATATACTTCTAATGCCATCATCAAAACTGTTGTCTATTTTAGGACAGTTTCTTGCCCTTAGACAACTGTTACTGATGATTATAGAAGAACGTTTAAACTTCAATCATTTTAACGCTATGGTTATTTCTACTGTCGTAATACTGCTACTTTGGATCAGTTTTTTAAAAAACATTTTAACTGTCTAGCTGTAAACATTGATGGAGAGAATCAGAAAAAAAAAATGCTTTAATGATTTGTTCATTGTGGTGCACAGATGGTGATTACATTGGTGCTGGTTTTGCAGGTGAAATATTATAGAAGCAGAAATGAATGTGATCTAAAGAAAACAGTAAACAAATTGATCCATAGTGATAGTTGTCAATAGATGTTTGAGAAGACTATTTTTTGTGAACAGTATGATCAAATTTCATCTGTACTCTATCTGTTTATTTTTGTAACTTTCATTTTTGGCTCAGTTACCAATGTATATCTGTTGATATTATTGCAGCTGCAAATTTAGGGTTCCTTAGTCACCAAAAATTTAAACGATGAATATACATTAGCCACTGTTAAGTAGTAACGATAATGAAGACTATGCATTGATACAGCTTTTCCATTTCGGTTTCAAATTCTTTTTTTTTTTTTTTTTTCACTTATTATTCTCTATTTTCTGCGGTATTTGGATAAATAGTCACTTAAAATTTTAAGAATCTCAACATCAATTAAAAACAAGTGATCAGATATGCAAATTTCATTTCATTTTAAACATACCTCTGAACAAAAAAACAAAAAAAAAAAAAAAAATATTTTTTCTCTCCCATCTTATATTTTTCCTTTTCTTTCTTCGTTCTTCTACCCTTCTTTCCCTTAACTTTATCTTAAATCTTCTCCCTTCTTTTTTCCTTTCTATGATATAAAAAAGATTTTTTTCCAGTAGTTTGATTTTGAAAAATATAATGACTTTATTTCAAGCAACGAAAAAAAAAAAAGAACTGGAGAAAGAATCAGAATAATTCAAACCTGTTTGATGTCGGATTTATTGGTTTTAGAATCAGTTTGAACAAACATGGCAAAAGTAGTATCAATAACAACTCATGAAGCAACTTCTTCTCTTCATTCATTGTATAAAATTAGGTGAAAAAAAAAAGGTAAGAAAAATAGCTGAGAAGATTGTTTAACAAACTAGCCATTAGTCATAAGCAGCAAAAAAGAAGGAGGAATAAAATTTACTAAGCATATTAAATTTTACGGAACATTAATGGAATAAAAACCCACACACACACACACACACGGAAAAAAATATTGGCTGAAGCAAACACATAGATCAGCCAGCCAATTAAATCAGCTGACTGACTAATCGTTGTCGATCAGCCATTATAAAAACACTAAAAAACGTATCCTTTTCTACTCAACCGATATGGCGATTTCCCTGTAACACACGCACACACACACACACACACACACACACACACACACACATACACACAAATCGCGATCATACTGGGAATAAATCACATATTCATACCGAAACAGGAGAATGTCCATAGTTTATACTTCAGACTACTCTCATCATCTCAACTCCTTCTCACAACTATTCATCATTGTTTTCATGCCTTTAAATCGATTTGGCTGTCTCAAAATAGTTAACAAACCATAAATAGCTTAAACTAAATCCTATCATAATTTGCTCTGTACACAATCAGTTTGGCGGCTATAGCAACAAAAAGTACTTAACAAAAAAACTGTCTGACTAAGCAAACTGCTCTGAGCTGAACTTCCCATCATAACAAATGTCAAAACAGTAAAAAAAAGAAAAAAAAGAAATTGAATAGCAAAAGTTCAGTGCAATTTATTCATACAAAATGTGGATTAACTTCACCAATCTGTTTCCCCCTGTCCCGTTGAAAAAACCAAATTAACGTTGCTGTAAATCGCAAAATTGCTTCCATTCTCTATAGTCACCTTTTTTTTTTTTTCTCCTTTTCTGCTTTTGTTCTTCCGCTAATTTTCCAGCATTTCACTGTTTCTTCTCCCTTTATCCCATCTACAGTCACCTTTCCGCTGTCTTTTATTGCAGTTGGTGCAGAGCAATTTAAAAAAACATTGAATCTGAATATTTCAATTGACAGAACGGAAATAAAAGATGCTAAACTGATACCATAAACCAACAAAAGAATGAATGAGATACGAAAAGACTTTAAAATGTCAATACGGTTTAAAAGCAAATGTTTGAAATCGATATAATTTTTCCAACAAGTGAACCTCAGACAAAGTTTTGAACATAAATAATTAAATCTCAGCTTTTTTTTTTGCACAAAAAATTAATATTTTAAAAAAAATTTGACAAACACCAATCAAAATCAGTTTAACTTATGAAGCTGCTCAAAGTAAAAACAAAAATAAAACAGGCTAAACGATGATAAATTTAAAATTTATTTGGTTGATATCAAAAAAATTTCATTGAAAAACTGACAATGGCAATGGAATTACATTAAACAGATGAGCAACGAAATCATGGACACCACTAAAACATGCATAATTTTACTGAATATGAACGGACACAGATACAGACGCCGACACAGACATCTGGAACAGATACAGACACAGAACAGAGACAGGTACAATTTTTATTCTCCAGGATTACTTGCCTATCCATGACTCATAACCCAAGATGGAAAGACCAATTCAGTGCAAACATAACAGTAAATAAAAGTTCGAAAAAATATGAAAATTATATAACTAATAGTCTGTATCACTAAATTAATTGTTGCTATAGTACTAACAATATCTCGAAATCAGGAGTATTCATACATTTCACACAGTTTCATGAATATTCCAAAAAAAAAAAATAAAAATAACAACAAGGAAAGCAAAATAGCATTCCAGTAAGTATCAAATTATACAATAAAATATGCAATATTTGGTTATTTTTACAGTTTTCCTAATAAATCGAATATTTTCACATGAATATCCGTCAAACAAAAATACACAAAAATTTCTTTTTTTTTTTTTTTCAACTGAAATATGCGGTACATAAGACTTTTTGAACCGCAAAGTTTTGGAACAGCTACAAAATTCCAATATTTTGTAACGCGTGAAGAAACTTTCATCAATTTTATCAAAACTAACAGAATATCACTTCATTAACAGGATAAAGAAGAGAAAAAAAAATACCACTACGGTATAATCTTCCCCCTCCCTTCCCAACAAAAAAGCAATCAGGAATTAGAAAGAATTCTCAAATGAATTGGATAATACTTAACTGTAAAAAAATCATTTAATTTAGAGATTCCTTCTATTGTCATTACTGCCGTTATCGTTACTATTACTACTACTGTTACTATCGCTATTGCTACTACTATTACCAGCACGACCATTATCATCATTTTATTATCCTATCATTGCGTGGCAATAAACACTAAACTTACAGAAGTCTTTTTAGAACCCCAAATTAAAATCAAAAAAAAAAGGTTGAATGGTTTTTTGAGCTAGTAAAAAACCATCTACAGTAATCAAAATCTTACAATCAGTGCTGCTTTGAGTTGAATCATTTGAAACGATAAGTAAGTATTACACGATAGCAGAATAAACCAGTTTTGAAGACTGATAAGTTGCCTTAACATTTACTTGATCATCAATAAGTACCAGATCAGCAATTGTACCAATTGCAAGGCTGCCTCTTTCTTTATCGATACGTAACAGTGTTGCTAAACAAAAAAAAAAGTCAGGCGTAATGTTCACCAGGTACATTAATATACTTGCAAAACTATAAACTAAATAAACAAATAATGTTCTAGTAGCAATAATTACCAACCAGGCTTAGTGGTAGCACAAAACAAAGCTTCTTCAAGCGAACATCCGGCTGCTTCCGTAAAATGTTTTACACAAAATCCAAGTGATGCAACACTAAACAGCCAAATAACTATTACGGTAAAATATTATTGCAATAAAGCCAATGTTGTTTGATTTTTTTTTTCTTTTAAATAATACCAAAACATTTATCGAACTGATCTACTGGGTAAACGGACTGTACGACGAAAGATTTGATGAATTTTTTGTGCAACTGCAGTGGCAATGCATATAAAAAACTGAATAATTCCAATGAAATAAACTGAGAGCAGTAAATATTATTACCTTCCTGCAGTTGTATTAGTGCCAGCCACAATAGCATTTAATCCTTTGCAGTTTATCACCTGATCGCCTAACCGATGAACACCGTCTCCCATACCAAAAGCAGCTATTGCATCGGTAATTAAAATTAAACCTTCTGGATGTGTCCGATAAGCAATACGCAGCGCTGAATCGTGCGTGTGAATACCGTCTGCTATTATTCCATAATAAAGTTTGGATGATTTAGGCAGAGATTCAGAAGTTAGAAGTCCAAAGAGTCCAGGATCGCGATGATGATACTAAACGAAAGAAATTAATAAAAAGAAGTAAGAAACTTCTTAAATACTTAAAAGCAAACTTTTTAATGATAAAACAGTTCACTAAAATTGGCTTCAATAGAAAGCAAAATTTTTACAGAATTCATTGCATTAAACAAATGTGTTATTGCAGTTGCACCAGCATGAAAAGCTTTTTCGCCATCAACTAGTCGACCGCTAGAATGTCCTATCGATACAGTTACACCTTTTTTAGACATAAATTTTATGGCTTCCAACGATCCCGGTAGTTCCGGAGCAATAGTAAACTAAAATTCTGGTGTGTTTTTTACGTTTACAATTATATATACGCATAGAAATCGTATTCAAACATCTTTTAACAAATCA